ATTGTAAGTAAACTGCACTGTAAGCTGCAGCTGACTCCATGTTGAATGACCTTGAGGAGTCACCTTCAGATGATCAGATGTGTGCTGTAGAATATAACTGAACGGATCACACACTTTCTCTAATAAACTTCTGACAATACGAAATGCTCTAATGTTGAAACTGTCTCTATCTATCCCTCTCTTCCCTGTGTTTCCTCCCTCCCTTCCTTCTTCCCTTCCTCCCTTTATCTCTTTCTCTGTCTGCCTTCCTCCCCCAGGGTCACTCTTGACCCGAGCAAACGGCAGTCTGCCGTCAAATCAGGGCCGGCTGCCCCCTCTGTGCCCCCCACCCTCACAGTCCCCTCCAACCCTGCGGCAAAGACTCTTAGTAAGTCTGCGCTCCACTCGTTTACATTCTTCCTCTTTCTTTATCATCCCCCTCTCCTCCAGCCTCTGCCCTTTCCACCACACCGCAGGGTTCCCACAGCATGGAAAACCTGGAAATATCAGGAAATTTTAAAATGGTGTTTTCCAGGAGTGGAAATGTGAAATATCATTTTTATTGTGGAAACACTTAGTGTATATAAAACACAAGTGTGTATAATATTAATATGAACCCACACTCCCACACACACACAAATACATACATGCATGCATACACAAATTATATTTAATAAAAATGTATATAATAAAAATAAATAATTACCTGTCAAAAGTTTGGAAACATTGTTTTTGAAAACAGTCTCTTAATCTCACCAAGGCTGCATTTATTTGATCAATAATCCAGTAAAACAGTGATACTGTGAAATAATATTATTACAATTTACATGAACTAGTTTGTGTTGTAATATATTTCAAATGTAATTTGTTCCTGTGATGGCAAAGCATTTTTAGCGTGTTACATGATCTTCGTCTAATACAAATTACCATTATAATTAAAAATATAATTACCATTTTCGATAGATGGATGGATCTATAGATGTAAATAAATAAATAACGGTCATTTATATTTTTTCCTAAATTAATTATTTAGTTTTTCTGTTTTAGTTTTTCATCATTTTTTCCAGTAGGGAATGCTTTGCTCAAAAATATTTCACACCATACTGATGTCCAGGATATAAACACATTCGAAACGTATCTTGCCAATATATCAGTCAAACCAATTCACAAATTGGGTCTAAATGATCCATTAGCGAATCCGTTTTCATCAGTGAATTTGAATGAGTGGGAACCCTGTCTCCAAACATGTGGCTCTGTATTGGCTTTTTGTTTTCTCTCCGTCCACCAGTTTAATTTTTTTCTTTTTGTGGGCTTTGAACTGCTCTTTTCTTCCAGATTCAGCAGCTCTGGCTATAGGCAGTTGTAAGAATTCGCAGATGAAGAGTGTCTAGAGTAAGGGCTCGTTTAAACACACAAACAACAGCTACAACCACACATTGTGTTTAATGGAGAGCGAAAGGCTGTGTGTGAGAGTGAGAAACCGAACGACTGTTTTGTCTGTCGATTTTAGTCCGACACGATGGTGTATCCATAAGGACACTGCGACGCACCCTCTGGCATGCGAAGAGCACAGTATATGTATAGACACGTCCTCTATATCTGTATATGCGTCTGATGTCAGGTCTCAGCCAATGTCTCACATCCAGCGCTCAGAATAGGCTTTTACCCATCATGCACTCTTTCAGTGAACTTCTAGATGTATATTGTTCTTTGAAGGAAGCAGCATGGCAGTGCAAATGAGTGCATGGTGAAAAACTACCATACATATTGAGGTGTTGATCGTAAGTTGTTTTTGTGTTCGTCTGATCCAGCGTACTGGTGACACTGAGTCTTTGTGGGAGGTTCACTTTTTCTGCTTACCTCTTCTTTTTTTTTGCTGTCTCTTTCACACTCTCTCTCTCTCTATCTATCTCATTGTGTGTGTAGTGATTTGCTCTAAAATGACTCAATGATTTCCTTTTCCTTTTTCTCTCTATCCATTCCTTTTTGCTGCATTGTGATCTCTAACTTTTCGACAAATTAACAATAAAAGAGTCTCAACCGAGTTTGAGAGAAGCGGGAGATTTGAGGGCTCAAGGTGAGGTGTCGTGACTTTGGAAACCCTTATTTCCTCTCCTGGCTCATTATTTTAGTGTGTTGTGGATGTATACTTTCTGTTTCCCACTGTATGAGATATCCGAGTGTATTTTAGTGTAGTGTGTACAGCACGAGGGCCATTAGTCTGCTTTAATAATGAATGTTTGAGTGATGTGTTTTTTTCTTTCTTTTTTTTGTTTTTTTTTAAAAAAAAAACATTTACATTAGGGCTGGGCGATATTTATTATTGAATATTCACAGTAATTTCAAATAACCAGCTTAATCAATGTGAAAGTAATTAACACTAGCTATGTTTCCAACCACCTATTTTATGCGCATTTTGGGATATCCCATAAAAAACAGCTGGATGAATACGTCAACGTATACGTTCGGTATAATTACCTCCCATAACTCTTACAAGACTGCGTTCCTAAACAACAGCATCTGCCTCCGAAAGTAAGATAACGCGTTTATTACGTTTCGTCTGCCCGCTCTGAGTCATTTATTATAGCTGAAAATGATTATATACAGTGGCTTCTCCTACTGTTATTAATGATATTTAGCGCCAGTTTATCAGGAAGTGACGATTTGTTCTGGTCACTGGATGAAATTGCTAGTTTATTCACAAATGTTTTATGTGATATTCAAATTTTGCGCATAATTTAAATTCACAAACACTTTATGGAAACATAGCTACTGAGTATCACAATTCCCTAGTTTCGAATGTTACAATTTGGTAATATCCTTTCTGATTATAAAATCCATAGCAAACTCATCTTGTTGAGTTTGAGTTCAGTTCATTTCTGCGAATCAGTTCAAACTGTTCATTTGATACATTTGACTAATTCAACAATTATTGCCAGTGTGACTTTGGTGGTGTATTTTGAAAAATTAACATGTTGAAAAGTACTGACTTGCCCAGCCCTAATTCATGTCAAATAGCATTAAAAAAAAGGAGCTGCTTCTATGCATGATTTAGTTTGCTGTGCATTTGATTGCCATTAATTCCCATGTGTGCTGATAACCCATGCATGTATCCGCTGCAGTGATTCTTCATTATGTCTTCATGTATAAGTAACCTCAGTATATAAAATAATCTTCATCCATTGCCTTAACCTTACCTTTCTCTCTTTCCATTCCCGTTCCGCTCCGTCTCGCAGTCGCCATGTATCTGGGGATCAGCAGAAAGATGAAGGGAAAGATGGAAAAGACGGGAAACCCCGTTCTCTCCGTTTCACCTGGAGTATGAACACCACCAGCACATTGGAGCCAGCCGACATCATAAATGAGATCCGCAAAGTTCTGGATGCCAACAGCTGCAGTTACCAGCAGCAAGAATGCTTTCTGCTTCTCTGTACCCATGGGGACAGCCGCTCCGACAGCCTCGTCCAATGGGAGATGGAGGTTTGCAAACTGCCCCGGCTCTCACTTAATGGTGTCCGTTTTAAGAGGATATCTGGCAACTCCATCGCTTTTAAAAACATTGCTTCCAAAGTGTCAGGCGAACTCAAGCTATGAAAATCTTTAATCTTACTACATAGAGGAATTTATGAAATTGTTCAGTTCAATATAGACAAACAAATTAAGCTGTACAATCGTTAAGTAGCAGTTCCCCAATTTTTTTTTTTTTTTTTTTTTAAACAAACCACTTAACATGTATTTGAAAAAATGTATATACTGTAACATTGCTTAAAGCAATAATTTCTTTAACATTGGTCACAATTATCGTATTATCGCGCAAGTCGTTAAATGCTGTAAAAAGAACAGGTTTGAACCTTTCAGTGTTACGCTTGTATGCACCTCTGAGAATGTTCAGCGAGGAACCAACTCATTACCATCACCGTCACTTCAGACTGGTCATTCAGGAAATGGACACTAGATGGAGATTTGTGGGGTTTTATTTTAGCTTTTAAACGGGCACTATTCTGTGGTGGTTTTAAGTATTGCGTGTTTTGGGCGACTCTTGTGTAAAGGGTGCACCCGAATCCTGACTTAAGACTTTTGGAACATTTGCTCTGCACCTCTGTGTATTGAGGGTGCTCGTCTGTGAAAACGGCTGCAGTAAACCTGATTTGAGCTCAGTTTCACTGTTTGAATGTTATTAAGAGCAACATTTAGATGTTTTATAATTTATTTCACGTTATTGCCCACTCGAGTGTATTTTTTGTGTAAATATTGTACTTTATGCGGTAATTACACATTTTCATACTGTTTTGTTGGATTTCTTTGAAACCGAGAGGGCATCTTGTAATCTTTCACTTAAAAGACTCACCACAGATTCCATTAAACTCTCTGTAACTCGTCACGGTGTTCATAGCAGAGATCTAATACAGCTACAAAATGATCTCAATATTTGTATTGCCTCTTTTTTATCTTTGTTTACTCCGTCTTTTTTTTTTTTCTGACTCTGGATCACATGAGCTGCAGGTCCACAACTTGGAGATCAAAGAAAGTTGTAGGAGTTTCAAGAGTTTGGGGTTGGTGTGATAAAAAAAAAACTGTTTTAGTGTTTAAGCAACATTTTTTTATTATTAATGTTGAAGAGTTGTATCTATAAATAGATGTCTTTAATATTAATAAGAAATGTTGCTTAAACAAGAAATCAGCAAACACACCGTGTATGTGATGTATATATTTAATCGTATTCAGTTCTGAACCTTTGCATTAGGTAGAAATTGCAGATTGTGATTTCTATAAAACAATTTCTAAAATTCCTTTAATATTCTTAAATCATGAATAGCTGTAAAACTTAACAGGTAAAATTTAAATTAATGTGAGAACCCTGGAATTGTAAACAGGATAGAACAGGGAATAAAGACAAAAAGCAAGTCATCACAATTTTATTTTCAGATATTCAGCCATGTTTTGCCCTGTGACATCTATGTGTAACAAGAACTGACCAGTGCAGATACAAAGGACCCTTAAATAAAACATGTCTTCCAAGAACAAGTCAACAAACATTTAATCCATCAGTTAACAAAGGTGAGAGGAGGTGGAGAGAGAAGAATGTGTGAAGTGAGGTTGAAATGCAGTCTACTTTTGGGCAGGCATAAGGTCATCGATGGACTGGCCTTTCTCCAGCCGTTTCTCCATCTCTATCATCAGCTTGACTCCATCCACCACCATCTGCACCAGCTCCACCTCAGAGAAGCCCAGGCGGTCAGCGTTGGAGATGTCAAAAGTACCGCCCACAGCTGCAGTGTCCACACCACCTAATGAACAGAGGCACCACTTTATCATTGCCATCAGTTTACATGATGCATTTGTTCACGATGCTCGGTGGGAATAGTAATGTGCGGTTAAATGTTCTCCAGCTGAAATCAGTTCTTACCGGTTCCACGTTTCTGCAGCCTCAGTCTCTTAAGGATCTCTTCAAACTGGCGGTACTTGCTGAGATTAGGCAGTTTGACATGCACTCCTGCACGCAGGCCTGTGCCGAGGTTGGATGGGCAGGTGAGGACGTAGCCGAGGTGCTCATTCCACATGAACGAGTGACCCTTGTTTTTGAACAAATCCTCAATCTGAAAGAACAAACAGTTTGAGTTTTTGCAGCTCTGTTCAAGCCATTATTTATCTAAAGTGTCTTGCGTACACCAGAATGAGGAAGAAGTTTCAGGATATTTAAAATATCTGTAATTAGTGTATTTCAATACAAGATGCTAAATACAGTTGTTATTTAAACTTTGACAAGATGGTCTCCACAAGGGTTCTTAAAGCAGTTTCAAAAGAATGTATTGGCAATAAAAATTATTTGCAACGTGAAAAGCAAAAAACAAACAAAAAGGATAACGTTTTAATAATCATACCAATCCTGTGAGAATAGGGAAGTCCACACTATAACAATAACATGTGGCCCATTTCATAAAGCCGGTTTTAGAGGATATACTATGAACAAACTATGGTTTTTGGAGTTGAAGATAAGGGATCGGTAACTTGCGCTGCGTGGTTAATCCGCTCCAGAACATATAGTTCTAAATGTAAAAGAATAGCAGAGTCCACATCATAACTAACGGCACAGAGGAAAGATATCGTTGGAATCACTTCAATTATTAGTTAGTAATTTAATTATGAGATAAAAGGACGAAATTATGATGTACAAATTCTTCAACTATTTGTCATAATTTTGACTATCTCATAGTTATGACTTCCTATCATTTTCGACCTACATTGATAATTTATTAGTTCATAATTAATTATGGGAAAAAGGTTTGAAATTATGAGATACAAAGTCATAATTCAGAGTCTAATTTCTGACATCTCATAATTATGACTTGGCGTGTCATCATTTCAACTTTTTATCATAATTATGACTTTCAACCTTTTGTCTCATGACTATAGCTTAGTACTTCATAATTTTTACTGTCATTTATCAGTTAATAATTAATTATGAGATAAAAGGTCAAAATGATGTGATACAAAATTCATAATTCAAAGTTGAATTTCTGTCATAATTTTGACATCTCATGTTGTCAATGACATGACTTTTTATCTCACAATTATGACTTTTAGTCTCGACCTTGTCTCATGATTATAGCTTAATATTTTATAGTTTATAATAAATTATTGTTAATTTAATTTTGAAATAAAAGTTCGAAATGAAATACAAATTCTTTGACTTTTTGTCCTAAAAAAAATGTTTTGTCATATTGACTTTTTATCTCATAATTATGATTTATTATCTATTATCATTTTGACCTTTTGTCTCATGATTAAAAGTTAATTGTTAGTTTATAATTAATTACAAGATAAAAGGTCGGAATTATAAGATACAAAGTAATAAGTCGAATTTCTATGTAAGTTTTGATGCATCTCATTTCTATCTCTGAATTTTGTGTAAAATGTATGTAAAATTATGATTTACTTGTTTTTCTTATGTGGGGAAAAAATGGCTTCCATAGGATTTAATAGAATCTTAAAGATAAGGTTAAACAGGATAACTGCTGCATTGATAGTTTGCATTACTTGAATCTATCAACACAATAACCAGCAGAGGGCAGTGTTCTACACAGTGTTCACTGTGCTGTTTATATAGGCACTGAAACGGCCAATATTATGAAGCTGCAGACTCGGAGCCTGCTGCTACCATCCTATGGCTACCATGGGCTGCTACAGTCCCCCACCCAGAGTCCCGCATTCTCAGGCCCCTTGTTTTTCGAGACATCGCCTCCTGCTGTTCAGAAGATCGTATAACACCCGCACACAGAGTCGTTAAGATGTCGATTTGGTCTTGATGTTAACAATTCTTTTTGTGTTGATCAGATTGAAACAACAGAACATCTGTTTTATCAAAAACGATGGCTTGACAGCTGTTTTAAATCTCAAAAACATCTGTGTGTACACAGCTGTGTGGCCCAAAGCATGATGTGGTCAGGGCTGCTTTAAACACCGTTCACATGCAGTTCTGTGCAGGGTGTAGAAGTACAGCGGCTCAAAGTGTGTCATGATCACGCGAACATAATGCATTCTCTTAAAGACTCACACAGCTCAAGGAAATTGTTAGTGACCAATTCAACGGATGGACCAAAAATATGCATGTGTTTATTTGTAGAAAGAAAAGCTAGAAACAAACAGCCTTTTTGTTAATATGATATTTTAGAGACTCTGAAGCCGTTTCCCAAGACCTACTAGTTTATTTTAATTGTGCTGTTGGCATAAAACATTTGACCTTCTGTATATGACATGATGTTAAGGGATGTTTAGTAAGTCAGTAGTGATTTGGGTCAGTTGCGACTTTTATTTTAAACTCTTAATCTCCATTCTTCTCTCCGATTCAGAATCCTATGGTGACCCGCCAAAGGTGCCACATGGGCGAACACCTTGGGGTCAGTATAGATGAGTGACCCAATATCAGCCTCCTTCACCCTCAAAATCTTTGTATTCGACTCATTTAAAAAAGAAATGACTTCTATTTTCACTTAGAAGTCATATATTAATGCTGTGTTGCATGCATGATATAAATGTGTAAATGTATGTTTAGCTCTGTAGTGCATTTGGGGTGACCATAGAGAAAGCCAGAGGGGCAGAGGACGACCTCAACGCCATTGTTGCGGGGACCATGACTGGTGTCCTCTATAAATCTCCAGGTAGATCATGAATAATATAACCAAGACTTTAACCCGGGTAAAGGAACGTTTCACACTTGTGATCTAGACAAAACGTGTCTAATTGAGTGAAGAAGAGACGATTTCATTCTTACTTTTATAGTCTGAAAGATCCATTCAGGATAAACTTGATAGTACATTTCCTGGCAATATATAATATGAGGATGTCAAATGCTAGAGCCTTTATAGGGCTTTTCATGCTTGAAATACACTGCCGGCCTAGAAAACAAAGTCGCTGTTAGGATTCAAATAGGGTAATTAATTGAAAGTCTTTGGATATTCTGGACTCTTGCATTGTCAATACAATATCTTGACCAAAAATGTATGCACCTCTTGATGCTAATAAATGTTGGGATGTTATTCCCATCAAGAGGTGCATCAATGTTTGGTCAAGATCTTGTATTGTCAATGCAAGAGTCCCGCACTCTGTATAGTCTCCTCCAGCACATCCCAAAGACTTTCAATGAATTTAAGGTCTGGACTCTGAGGTGAAAATGATTCTTCATGCTCCTCCTCACAACCATTCTTTCACAGTTTGAGCCTGATGAATCTTGACATTATTATCCTGGAATATGGCCATGATGTGTCAGTCTTCCTACCCAGACAGCAACATTGTGTCGGCCCAGATCCGGTCCACATCTGATACACGTGGAATCCACACGTACCAGATGTGTGCCGGATCTGGGCCGACACCATGTTGCTGTCAGGTTACATGGTTGTTTAAGAAATGAAAAGCTAAACACTCCATCAATTAGGGTTAGAACAATTGTTGCCAAATATATAACATGCTAGAAACATAATAATCACTGAAATAATCATCCAATCATAGACTTTTAAGCATTTGCGCATTTAAATCCACACAGGTAACCCTGGGTCATTCTAAACCCTTGGTAAATGGAATCCTGGGTTATCTTGCTTCACATGTCACACTGCTCATAATTTAGCCCGGGTTAACAGTTAATCCTGTCATATTTATTCTATCCTGTCATATTTATTATACATTTATGACAGAAAATTCTGTCATCAATTGATGTCGTTCCAAACCTGTAATACTTTCGTTCATCTTTGAAGCACAAATAAAGACATTTTAATGCAACCCGAGTGACTTCTGTCCCTTCATTGAAAGCTTATTCCAACAAAACTTTGACTCTTCAAAAAGTTTATAGAGAGTAATCCAGTCGCACGTCAAGCAACTGCGGTCGAGCTTTCATTTACTATATTTGACGTGCTCTTTTTGTATGCATTAATGCTTATGTGCGAATAAAATAAAAAATAAAATATGTTTATCAAATGAAGTGATCGTGTCTCTTCAGAAGACTTGATTCTACTCGATTCATATGGACATTCATATGGACCACCCTTACAATTTCTTTATGAACTTCTTGAAGCATCAACGTTTTGATTGCGTTGACTTTCAGAAATCTCTCGGTTTCATTAAAAATCTGTTCATTTGTGTTTCGAACATGAACAAAAGTCTTATGGGTTTGGAATGACATGAGGGTGAGAAAATGACAATTTTCATTTTTGCGTGAACTATCCCTTTAATACGTTTGCGTTGTGTTTTGTTCCATTATTTTCCTGTCATCACTGTAAAGCTGCTTTGAAACAATCTGTATTGTAAAAAGCGCTATATAAATAAAGGTGACTTGGGCAGCACAGATATCAACCTCACCTGTGCACTAATTTAAGACATTTCCGACTATGTTTACGTGAAAATTCCACACGGTGGGCATTTTGACATTATTGTGCGTCAATCTGACAATTCAAACGTAATAAGATGCGAAAGAGAACTGAATTTGCGATTGCATGCTGTCTGAGAGAGGCGGCTTTCTGTGTGCGCTTTGGGTGTATGTCAGTCAGCGAGAGGACTAACGTAACCATGAAATAAACGATATACAGTAAAATCTCTAGACCAAGGTCATGATCCCATCATACTGCCCAGCCCTATTAAAAACCCATATCAGTCGACTTCAGCTGTGGCCTTTTTCCTGTGAACTCAAAGCCTCTCTGACATATTTCAAATATCTGTGTGTCAGGAGGAATGATAAGCGTCTGCCAAAGTTAGAGCAAAAAGATCTCCAGACTCACTTCTTAGATCAGATTATTATTTTAATCTAAAAATGTCTAATGACTGACGGTGCAACAGTATAAACATTTCATATAATAAAAGCCAATAACAGAATTCAGAAAACAAACATCTTTGAGGAGCATAAAAACATCAAACATCTGCACACAGCATGCAGTGGTGAGGGCGCACCTAGGTTCTCAAATGTGATGCTACTCCCCGAGGTCTCCTCCCAGCTGGACATGCCTGAAACACCTCCCTAGGGAGGCGTCCAGGAGGCATCCTTACCAGATGCCCAAACCACCTCAACTGGCTCCTTTCGACGCAAAGGAGCAGTGGCTCTACTCTGAGCTCCTCGCGGATGGCTGAGCTTCTCACCCTATCTCTAAGGGAGACACCAGCCACCCGCCTGAGGAAACCCATTTCGGCCGCTTGTACCCGCGATCTCGTTCTTTCGGTCATGACCCAGCCTTCATGACCATAGGTGAGGGTAGGAACAAAAATTGACCGGTAGATCGAGAGCTTTACCTTACGGCTCAGCTCTCTTTTCGTCACAACGGTGCGGTAAAGCGAGTGCAATACCGCCCCCGCTGCTCCGATTCTCCGGCCAATCTCCTGCTCCAATCTCCCCTCACTCGTGAACAAGACCCCGAGGTACTTAAACTCCTTCACTTGGGGTAAGGGCTCATTCCCTACCTGGAGTTGGCATTCCACCGGTTTCCTGCTGAGAACCATGGCCTCAGATTTAGAGGTGCTAATCCTCATCCCAACCGCTTCACACTCTGCTGCGAACCGATCCAGTGAGAGCTGAAGGTCACGGACCGATGATGCCATCAGGACCACATCATCCGCAAAAAGCAGTGACGAGATCCCAAGCCCACCGAACCGCAACCCCTCCCCACCACGACTACGCCTCGATATCCTGTCCATGAATATCACAAACAGGATTGGTGACAAAGCGCAGCCCTGGCGAAGGCCAACCCTCACCTGGAAAGAGTCCGACTTACTGCCGAGTACTTGGACACAGCTCTCGCTTTGGATGTACAGGGATTGGATAGCCCTGAGAAGGGGCCCCCTCACCCCATACTCCCGCAGCACCTCCCACAGTATCTCCCGGGGGACCCGGTCGTATGCCTTCTCCAGATCCACAAAACACATGTAGACTGGATGGGCATACTCCCAAGCCCACTCCAGGATCCTTGTGAGAGTAAAGAGCTGGTCCGTTGTTCCACGGCCGGGACGAAAACCGCATTGTTCCTCTTCAATCCGAGGTTCGACTATCGGCCGAACCCTCCTTTCCAGCACCTTGGAGTAGACTTTACCAGGGAGGCTGAGAAGTGTGATACCCCTGTAATTGGCACACACTCTCTGGTCCCCCTTTTTGAACAGGGGAACCACCACCCCAGTCTGCCACTCCTTGGGCACTGTACCCGACTTCCACGCAATGTTAAAGAGACGTGTCATCCAGGACAGCCCCTCCACATCCAAAACTTTTAGCATTTCTGGGCGGATCTCATCAATCCCTGGGGCTTTGCCACTGTGTAGTTGTTTGACTACCTCAGTGACCTCCACCAGGGAAATTGATGAGAATCCCCCATCCGCTTCCAGCTCTGCCTCTACTAGAGAGGGCGTGTCAGTCGGATTTAGGAGTTCCTCAAAGTGTTCTTTCCACCGCCCAATTACCTCCTCAGTTGAGGTCAACAGAGTCCCATCCTTACTGTACACAGCTTGGATGGTTCCCCGCTTCCCCCTCCTGAGGTGGCGGACAGTTCTCCAGAAGCACTTTGGTGCCGACCGAAAGTCCTTCTCAATGTCTTCTCTGAACTTCTCCCACACCTGCTGCTTTGCTTCTGTCACAGCAGAGGCTGCAGCCCTTCGGGCCTGTCGGTACCTTGCAACCGCCTCCGGAGTCCTCCGGGACAACAAATCCCAGAAGGCCTCCTTCTTCAGTTGGACGGCTTCCCTGACCACCGGTGTCCACCACGGTGTTCGAGGGTTACCGCCCCTTGAGGCACCTAAGACCTTGAGACCACAGGCTCCCGCTGCAGCTTCCGCAATAGAAGCTTTGAACATTGCCCACTCAGGTTCAATGTCCCCAACCTCCACAGGGATGCCAGAAAAGCTCTGCCGGAGGTGTGAGTTGAAAATCTCGCGGACAGGGGTCTCCTCCAGACGTTCCCAGTTCACCCGCACTACCCGTTTGGGCTCACCGGGTCTGTCTAGATTCTTCCCCCACCCCCTGACCCAACTCACTACCAGGTGGTGATCAGTTGACAGCTCCGCCCCTCTCTTCACCCGAGTGTCCGACACATGCGGCCTCAAATCAGATGAAACGATTACAAAATCGATCATCGATCTTCGGCCTAGGGTACTTTGGTACCACGTACACTTATGAGCATCCTTATGTTCGAACATGGTGTTCGTTATAGACAATCCATGACTAGCACAGAAGTCTAACAACAAACACCCACTCGAGTTCAGATCAGGGGGGCCGTTCCTCCCAATCACGCCTCTCCAGGTATCTCCATCATTGCCCACGTGCACATTGAAGTCTCCCAGTAGAACTATGGAGTCCCCTACTGGAGCCCCATACAGAACTCCATTCAGGGTCTCCAAGAAGGCTGAATACTCTGAACTGCTATTTGGTGCATATGCACAAACAACATTCAGAGTTTTCCCCCCCACAATCTGAAGGCGTAGGGAGGCGACCCTCTCGTTCACCGGGGTAAACTCCAATGTAGTGGCGCTCAGCCGGGGGCTTGTGAGTATCCCCACACCCGCCCGGCGCCTCACACCCTGGGCAACTCCAGAGAAGAATAGGGTCCATCCCCTATCCAGGAGTACGGTTCCAGAATCGAGACTGTGCGTGGAGGACAGCCCCACCAGATCTAACTGGTAGCGCTCCATCTCCCGCACAAGTTCCGGCTCCTTCCCCCACAGAGAGGTGATGTTCCACGTCCCCAGAGCCAGCCTCTGATGCCCGGGTCTGGTCCGTCGAGGCCCCTGACCTTCACCGCCACGCTATGTGGCAGCGCACCCGACCCCTATGGATCTTCCCATGGATGGTGGGTCCAAAGGATGCAGAGGGGGGTGCCACGTTGCTGTTTCGGGCTGTGCCTGGCCGGGCTCTGTGGCAAACCCGGCCATCAGGCGCTCGCCGGCGAGCCCTCCCTCTGGGCCTGGCTCCAGACGGGGGCCCCGGGCTTCCTCCGGGCAGGGTCTCTTCTCCTCTTCCTCGTTTCTTCATAAGGGTCTTTGTGAACCATTCTTAGTCTGGCCCCTCACCTGGAACCACTTTGCCTTGGGAGACCCTACCAGGAGCACTAGGCTCCAGACAACACAGCCTCCAGGCTCACAGGGGCACCCAAACCTCTCCACCACGGTAAGGTGATGGTTCCAAATCGATTAAACTAAATTTGAGAGATTTTAATAGCCTACACTTTGAGTACACGGGGTACAGTCATAGACAGGGTACAGTGCCCCTTCAGAAAATGTTTAACTTTTTTATATACAAGTTTAGCATGTAAAGGACGATACATCATCCAATCTATTACCTATATATATATATATATATATATATATATATATATATTTAATAAACTGAAACATATGCTAATGTAGTAGGTTACGATACATGTGACATTGGATGAATGGACGTTTAAGTAAAAAGCAAAACAACATTTAAAGTAACACAGTGCCTCAATAAGTCATTTTATTTATGTTTTTGTTTGTTTTATATTGTCTACATTAGTGCCATATTTCTGTTATAAATTGTAAATTGTTTACAATTTTGTTTAGCTTAATCCCATTTCTTCACATGATTGTGATATAGTAAAATAAAATAAAAATGACTTGTATAATAATAATGATGATAATAATATGGTTTAAATTGTTTAAATATGCAATGCAACCTAGAAATCCAGTTCAACAAAAAACTATTTTCAACTAAAAAAATAAAACAGTACAGGTCTCACGACTTTTATTTTGACATGACGTACTGGTATGCTAGCCCGATTTTGACATTTAACGGCGAAGTTTTCTGCTTTTTAACGTATGTAATACGTTTTTTTTATGTAGTTAAATACAAGTTTTATGAGGTTAAATACAAGTTTATATAAAAATCTTCCAAGACTGTTCTGTCTGGTAAAATCCGGAAGTTTAGATCTGCGATTAGAGGAAGTAGCGTCACAAATCGCGTCGTCATCACGTCACATTTTTGTCCCAGCGCTCTACAGCTGGCAAAACAATTCACACAAACCATTTTTAATATCAAACTAAAATGAGCACCAGAACCAAACTATAGATCGTAGCGTTTTAATGTTCTAGCAGCTAAAGTTTCTGCTTATATTCTTGATAGTGCAAAACAATGTCGGCATCACAAGGAAGCAAAAACACGAATACGGAACCATGGGGTGGTTTTGATGACAACATTATCCAGGTAATTTACCTCAACTCAGCATTATACAGTCACATAACGTATGAAAACACACGATGTTTCTGTTAAACAAGCCGTTTGCATAGTCTGACCTCCCTGTTGTGGTGGTACTATCTTTATTTCTATTGGATCTTGCTCACTAATTACCATATTCATGTACCATTTGTGTACTATTCAAAGCTGCTTAGGATACTGTAAGCGAAACTGTGATGTAAACAATTATGTACATATAGGTTAGTATAAGTGTAGGAGATAAATTATCGCCATTTTATTGTTATTATTTTCCACGTTACATGCTCATAAACATGCTAGCTTGTTATATGTACAAATAACTATGGTATTACCATTGTAGCATGTCCAAAAACATTATTATTGCACTTTAGCATCCACAATCGTTTTGCCTACCCAGGGTTTTTCCTGGGTCAAAATTGGTCTTCGGTGGTGGCCAACATTAACACATCCTTTCTTGCCCTCTTTTTTCCCTCTTTTTTAAATAAAAGCTGGGATTTTACCACTGGATTTCATAGCTTTGTAAGATAAAATCCTTCTTTGCTAGACCTGATAATTATTTAGGTATATAATCATATCAATATCAAAAAGTAGAATAAAAAAGTAGCATTAAAATGTTTATTTTAACTAATAGTCAAAATTTCTACCATATACAATTGAATAAAATGAGCACCTAGATAACAACTTGCTTTGCACTTTTTTTCTGGTTTCACCTCACTCCGGTCTAAAATAAATTCTTTTTTGGGTAATTTTTCTACACATTGTCAATAACCTGAAAATACTGTAGTAGTTTATTAAGGTTAAAATCTTGCTTACCACTCTTACTAAAGCACACTAACATTCTCATTTTATGATGTGTTCTGAGTAAATTATTTGTTTGTAACACTTTACAATATGGTTTGATTTATTAACATTAGTTAATGTATTAGGATAACTAACATGAACTAACCATGAGCAATACATGTGTTACTGTATTTATTAATCTTTGTTAATAAAAAAATACAACTGTTCATGTTCCCTCACAGTGCAGTAACTAATGTTAACAAATACAACAAACTTTTGATTTCAATAATGTAGGCTACTAGTAAATGGTGAAATTAACATTAACAAAGATTAAATGCTGTAGAAGTGCAATTTATTAATAGTTAATGTTAAAATCTATTACCATTCACTCCGATTATAGAGCCAGGATATTTTTTAATATAGCTCTGATTGTGTTTGGCTGAAAGAAGAAAGTCATAAACCTAGAATGGCTTAAACGTGAGTATATTATGGGATTTTTTTTTCATTTTTGGGTGAACTAACCCTTTAATACTTCCTATGTATTTGCAGTATTCAGAATACTTTAGCAAATTATACAAAAATAAAGGGAAAATAAACCTGTCCTGCATGCTCCATCACATTCTCTAACTTATCTGGAGTGTGAAAATTGGCTGTATGAGTTTTTTACAACATTGCACTGAGACTTTGTGACATAACTTTCTCTCTTTCTCGTGACCGACCCCAGGGCAGCGGCTCGGCTGTGGTGGACATGGAGAATATGGACGACACCTCGGGCTCCAGCTTCGAGGATATGGGGGAGATGCATCAGCGCATGAAGGAGGAGGAGGAGGTGACGGAAGAGGCAGCCGCTACGGACGAGGACAACGGAGAATATGGAGAGTTCCTCGGGATGAAGGGCTTGAAGGGACAGTTGGGCAGACAGGTTGCTGATGAGGTGAGCCAGAGGGAGGGCTAGGAACCTGATTGACATGTGAGGCCTGTTTACACCTGGTGTTAAGATGCGTTTTGGTCGATTGGATGACGCCAAATACAGGTGTAAACGGGGTCTAAAACGTTTTGAGCTTGTCCATTTTCAACCACTTCCAGAGGTAGAAAACACCTTCGACCAGCCACAAAATATCTACTCTCCGCCTATTGAGCAAATATTATGGGAAGCGCACTAGCCAGACGGGATTCAAACTTTATCAGCTGAAGACCCAAGTTTGGTTTGAAGATGAAAAATGTATCAAGCACAATGTTCTCTCAACATTCCTGATTTCTAACACACACTCACAGCGTTCGGCTGGTCTTGTGGCTGTCAGAGCAGAAACTAAGGCCCCGTCCACACTACTGCGTTTTCGTTTAAAAACGGAGAATTAAAACGAATACGATCTCCGTCCACACCAGCGTTTTATCTGCGTATTAGAATTGATCTCCGTCCACATTAAAACGCCTGAAAACGCGGATCACGTGACCATTCACCAACACTCGGCATGCGCGTGCCGGTGTAAACAGGAAACGGATTGACATGTGATGGGTGGCTGACGAATCAGGGAAGGATACGTCATGACTGATGACACCCAATCATAGAGCCGAGCGTGAGCCTCTGCGTCATCGTTTCTAAAGTCCTTCGTTTTGTCCCGTCTTCACTAAAACGCCCTCCGGAGATTCAAAACGCAAAACGGAGCTGCAGCGTTTCTAAACTTCTCCGTTTTAGGTCTTCGTTTTTTCCGTTTTAGTGTGGACAGGAGGTGCAAACGTAACAAAAGGTCTCCGTTTTTAAACGAAAATGCAGTAGTGTGGACGGGGCCTAAAGCTCCTGCTCTCCGTATGTTTTTCCGTCATCTCCGGTCACCTTCATATGTAAATTGTGTGAGCTTATTTTGTCCATTAGATTGAAAGATCTGAAAAAGCCTATAGATTTACCCGCCCATAGACCCTCCCCTCGAAGAAATCAGGACAGAAGTGGTCAAAAGTGGATGAAAGAGACGGATTAAAACACCAGGTGTAAACGGGAACGTGTCTCCCTCGTCTACTTGTGATCCGATCGACCAAAACACATCTTAATACCAGGTGTAAACATGTGCGTGAAATGAGGTAGAATGTCTGAGCTGCTCTTTTCCATTCAACAGGTGTAAGTCATTTTTACTGAAAAAAAAACTTGTGTAACTTCTCTTTATAGATTTCTGTTGAGCTGTGTGTAGAAAAGATTGTTACTAACATAGCGTGTATCTACACAGGTATGGCAAGCAGGAAAGCGACAGGCCTCAAAAGCTTTTAATCTGTACGCCAATATTGACATTCTCCGGCCGTACTTTGATGTGGAACCCATTCAAGTCAGAAACAGGTAAGATCCATGTCAAGCATTCTAGCAGCGCTTTCACAATATCTACTGCAGCTTCACCACTGCTTCAGACTCAGTGACCAACTGCTTAATCCACAGGTTGGTGGAATCCCTGATCCCAGTCCGAATGATCAACTTTCCACAGGTAAGGCAGTCGATCATTCTAGCCATAAAACAATAGAAAGCAAGTTTAATTGTAACGATATAAGAGCAGGGGTTTGGCAACCCTGAGCGAGAGATACATATTATTAACCCTATTAAGTCTACTGTATCATGTTTGATATGCAAATTTCTAAGCCCTTTAAATTATCAACATGATCAATACGTGTTGCCACTATCTACTACGTGCCTTCTGACATCTGATTGATAGTTTGATTATCCATACATCAAAAGTCACGTTAAAATGTGAGTATCAAATATGATCCATCCGGCTTTTGAGTTTATTTGTTCATTTCTCAGTCATTGTATTGCATTGCATTATATGTTTTGCCCCCTACAATAAAAACTACTGAGCTTTGATCATAAAAGCATTTAAATATCATCTTGCTAAGACTAATTTTTGGGAGATATAGAGTGACTTCTGATATTTATATGCACTTTATGTATCTGCTAGACTGTTATAAAGATCTCATTGATTTACATTACAAGCTATCAGAATTTCATCATACTTTTTGACTATGTAAATATCAGTAAATGCAACAAATTACATATTTTTGCTCAGTTTGGGCCTCTGAATAAAATTGAGGTGTTTTTTCCTCTTTGAATATATGCTCCATATTCACCAATATCATAGTAAATGCACCATACAAACCTGAAGTATGAAATATGATTCTCAAAAACTAAACAAAAAACACACATATATATATATATAAAAAAAGTATTGTTTGTTTGTTTGTTTAAAGTCTCAGTAAACCATTCCAATATAAATTAAAATATTTTTTTCTGACTGTTATTTCTTGTCAGACTCTACAGGGTTAATTCATTTTAATGTATTTACTTTTTTATTTTTCATATCTGCATTTCTTTTCCTCGCTGTCACACAGCACATTTTATTTAGTTTTGAGCTGTGTGGAAAGCCAAAAGTGGGACGAAACCGTGTTACTCATTCCACTGGAGACGACAGCGCAGACTTATAGCGGCAGATGTCATGAGCACTTTTTGCTTCATTAGCTACTTATTTTTTCTTCTAAACCCAGAAAGTTGCAGGAGAACTGTATGGACCAATGATGCTGGTGTTCTCACTGGTGGCTATTCTGCTCCATGGCATGAAGACATCAGGAACCGTCATCGTAAGCAATGTTCCAGACATTTGTCAGTGACAAATTTAATCCAAAATGAAAGTCAGGCTTTCTTCATCGGAAGTCCGTCGTTCTTGACTGGTGTTTGTTTGTTGAAACAGAGAGAGGGAACGCTGATGGGCACTGCCATTGGAACCTGTTTTGGATACTGGCTAGGAGTGTCTTCCTTCATCTATTTCCTTGCTTACCTGTGCAACGCTCAGATCACCATGCTGCAGATGTTGTCTTTGCTAGTAAGTAGCTCACATTACCCCTGGAGAGAGTGTATGATGTGCCCAATTCACACTGCGATGAAGTGTGTCTTATTATCTTTGTTTTCAGGGTTATGGTCTCTTTGGCCACTGTGTGGTCCTTTTCATCACGTACAATGTCCACTTCCACTCGCTCTTCTACATTCTCTGGCTGGTGATTGGAGGGCTCTCTACTCTACGCATGGTAAAGCAAAATGAACAAGGGCCAAAATCATGCATGTATCACTGTAAGATGTGTATTCACGTTCCTTGTGCTCGTGTCCTCCTCTCAGGTGGCTGTGCTCATCTCTCGAGCTGTTGGTCAGACTCCTCGCCTCATACTGTGTGGCACACTGGCTGCTCTTCACATGCTCTTTCTGCTCTACCTGCACTTTGCTTACCATAAGATGGTTGAAGGTAAGACATGAGTCCGAGAGCAAGTAGAGCTGGGCGATTAAGCTAAAAATGAATGTATTTTGTTTAATATATATATTTAATACCCTGAAAAACTGTTAACAGTAAACAAAAAAAGTTCAAATAATAAGAAATAAAAGTAAAATGGCACATTTTCCACACTGTTCACCATTGAATTAACACAAGAAAACATTATTAAATCATTTTTATTCATATGCACTAATATAGCAATAGTGTTGTGTATATCAGAATATCATTATGTTCTATGGAGCTGTAGATTGCAATAACACAATTGAGGCTGAGTGCACTTACAACTTAAACTTTACTTTTTCAATGTTCAAGGTGTACGCAATCACACAGTGCCACCTAAAGCATAAGACAACAATTGCAGGACAACCCAGTTTCAAACGTAAATGCATAACATATAGTAAAACACTTTTTTTTTTATATAAAACATTGGTCACACTTTAGATTAGGGTCCAATTCTCACTATTAACTACGACTTTTGCGTCAATAAACTCCCAATTACTGCTTATTAATTGTAAGTAAGGTAGTTGTTAAGTTTAGGCATTGGGTAGGATTAAGGGATGTAGAATATGAGCATGCAGAAGAAGACATTAATATGTACTAATAAACAGCCAATTATCCTAGTAAAATGCATGCTAATAAGAAACTAGTTAATAGTGAGAATTGAAACCTAAACTAGACTGTTACCGAAACATTTTATGAAACATTTTGATACATGCATGCAAAGACATATTTGTGTGATGATGATGCAGAGGAATCACTTAATTAAAGTTATGAATCGAGCCAATGAAACGGGTTCAAACTAGCCAAAATATCTTTATATTAATAGTCTCATCATGGGTCACTGGACAAAGAAGAATCATAAAACTAGTTTAATGCCACAGTCTTTAGGAAATGTTAATGTCCAAAAAGATTGTATTAAATAATTGCAATATTACCTATTCATATCTACAGCAAAATCATAGTAAATATACAATATATCATCTTTGTGGCAAGGGCTGTTCAGTCCAAAACACTAAGTTAACCATATACTTGATTTAATGATTTACATTACAAGCCATCAGAATTTTCACCTTACTTTTTGGCCATATAAATATTATAAACTGCATCAAATTGCATAGTTTCTTGTATGAGCTCTATTTTCTCACTATATCATACTATATGAGCTATAAAAGCCTGATGTGTTTTTGTTTGTTGTACTATCTCTGAATAGCTAACTGAAGATAAAGCAAAATAATGAAAATGAAATAGGTTGTGCACGAGAATGTCTTCAAGGCCTTATTGTGACCTTTAGTAATTGAAATCTAGAGCCACCGAATGACGAATACGAAACGTTTTTTTTGCTCAGCCGACTTGAGTCGACAACACAATCAGCGCTAGTTCTTTGACGTTGGCTTAGTTTGTCAATGCTACGGTCTTTACAGGCCTTACATTGCCGTTTTGTCATTGTTGTGTTTTCCTGCTTGCAGGTATTCTGGATACTTTGGAAGGACCCAATATTCCACCCATCCAGAGAGTGGCCAGAGATGTTCCTGTTGTTGCAAATGCTGTTGTGAATGCAACCATCAATTCAATAGCTGCAATTGTACAGTCACAGTGATCATATTGGGCTTCTGGGTTGGTCTCGCAGGCCAGTGAGACTGGTGTATATATATATATAGGGTCAGAGCAAAACCAAATCATGAGGCAGTCTCCATTGAGCTCAGTTTGTATCTCGTATATTGTTCCTGACGCTGTCAAACGGACCTAAACGGATGCTTTTAGGTCAAAATGGCTTCACTTCATTTTGGCTCATTAATATGAGACAATAATTTTGGCACACTATCCCATTCACTCTATGCTTGTCTTAACCATTTCTGTTGCTAAAAGTTACAGTACCTATGACCTGCTAATGATAGAATGGTTTGGTTTATTACAGTTATGTGTGGATTCCTTAAGGATGCTGATACTAATAACTGAAATTATTCTTCAAAATGTTTTGTAAAACCCAGCTGGATGTTTGTGCTGTTTGAGAGTCCATTGATCCGTCTCAATTACTGAGACCACTAATGACACCACACAACACTTCTGTTTTTAGATCTTGTTGCATAATCTCACAGTTGAAAAGGTAGTCTTCGTCAAGACTCGGTAAAGAAGTCGGCAAAATGTATAGATACAGAAATGCAATGATATTTTATTTCAAGAGGAGAAAGGTTGTGATGGTGCATGCAATCTTTTTTTCCTGGTCCATATTTAACCAGCCATTGTGTTGCAGTCTGATTCCTGCTATTTAAAGCTATGGTTGGGTGTGAGGGTTTTCTGGGCTCTCTCTCATTATGTTGTCTTTTACATGTGAGCTTATTTAAAGGGTTCTTGTAAAGAGAAAATAAAGAAACGCTGTTGTCCTTATTTGTGATTAGAAGCGTCATGTTTAATACTAGGGGTTTGTTAATAATCAAATCCCAAACCCTTAGTGTAGGCAATAGTAATAGAAATACAATTTAACTAATGACAATATAGAGGAAAAGTTGAATCAGCATAAAGCTGGTGGGCTGTGGAATTTAGACTCACATTAAAGCAATTAAATGATACCGAGCATAGCTGATCCTTACACACACAATAAGGCCACTACTCACAATGATTTGATGTAGCCATAATGAAAGCTGTTCTGAGATGGACATACTGATGTTTACTGGGAAGAGTGTATATCCATGATGGGCCATATATATGTATGAAGCTGAGACAGTTAAAGGGATAGTTCGGTCAACTGTCTGAGGTTGCTAATGCAATGCCAAATCAGATATATGTACAATATGTATACAATAACAATTTTCGGGGAAAAATAACATTGCAATGTCCAGAAATACAATTTCAATAGTATTGGGTTTAATTTGATCTTCTAATATATATTGTTAATGGCGAGAATTTTTACGTGCATAAATGCATAGATCCGCAAATGTTGCTTATGTACATTAATGGTTTATTAGTAGAACTTTTTCCAAGAGTGTCAGAACCTGGCAAAAAGTTGTGTAAATTATCTGAAAATTACGCCTAAGACAGAGAGCAATATATATATATAGAACAAAATTATAAACGCAACACTTTTGTTTTTGCCTCCATTAAAGAGTTGTACTTGTATCTATAAATAAATGTCTTCAATAGTAATAAGAAATGTTGCTTAAACAAACACACCGTGTATATTTAATCATTCAGTTCTGAACCTTTGCATTAGGTAGAAATTGCAGATTGTGATTTCTATAAAACAATTTCTTGAATTATTATTAAATCATGAATAGCTGTAAAACTTAACAGGTAAAAGTTAAATTAATGTGAGAACCCTGGAATTGTAAACAGGATAGAACAGGGAATAAAGACAAAAAGCAAGTCATCACGGGCCAAATTTTATTTTCAGATATTCTCATCCATGTTTTGCCCTGTGACATCTATGTGTAACAAGAACTGACCAGTGCAGATACAAAGGACCCTTAAATAAAACATGTCTTCCAAGAACAAGTCAACAAACATTTAATCCATCAGTTAACAAAGGTGAGAGGAGGTGGAGAGAGAAGAATGTGTGAAGTGAGGTTGAAATGCAGTCTACTTTTGGGCAGGCATAAGGTCATCAATGGACTGGCCTTTCTCCAGCCGTTTCTCCATCTCTATCATCAGCTTGACTCCATCCACCACCATCTGCACCAGCTCCACCTCAGAGAAGCCCAGGCGGTCAGCGTTGGAGATGTCAAAAGTACCGCCCACAGCTGCAGTGTCCACACCACCTAATGAACAGAGGCACCACTTTATCATTGCCATCAGTTTACATGATGCATTTGTTCACGATCCTCGGTGGGAATAGTAATGTGCGGTTAAATGTTCTCCAGCTGAAATCAGTTCTTACCGGTTCCACGTTTCTGCAGCCTCAGTCTCTTAAGGATCTCTTCAAACTGGCGGTACTTGCTGAGATTAGGCAGTTTGACATGCACTCCTGCACGCAGGCCTGTGCCGAGGTTGGATGGGCAGGTGAGGACGTAGCCGAGGTGCTCATTCCACATGAACGAGTGACCCTTGTTTTTGAACAAATCCTCAATCTGAAAGAACAAACAGTTCGAGTTTTTTGCAGCTCTGTTCAAGCCATTATTTATCTAAAGTGTCTTGCGTACACCAGAATGAGGAAGAAGTTTCAGGATATTTAAAATACCTGTAATTAGTGCATTTCAATACAAGATGCTAAATACAGTTATTTAAACTTTGACAAGATGGTCTCCACAAGGGTTCTTAAAGCAGTTTCAAAAGAATGTATCCACCTTATTCCTGCACCCCATGACGCTTTGCGCGAATTATGGGTGTAACTTCCGTTAAGCTGTAAACAATCAAGGCTGAAAGGCTCGCTCTATGATCGCAATACGATGACAAAAGTGTCACAATGAGATGACATTAATCGACTCACCCTTCAATCATCGAGCATTAAAATGAAATTTAAAAGTTTAAAAGAATCAATAGACCAAAAATAGCCCCAAAAGCGCGAGTCTTTGGTTAAATATCACTGTAGTAGGCAAATATATATCTGTATTGTATAACAAGCCTTAATCAAAAATGTGCATTAACTTCAGCATTACGTGACGCTACATCAAAGTGATTTCCGTCATTTTGACAGATTATAGATTGCATTTACCTGTGAAAACAAACCTGGAAAGAGACGTGAGGATTTGAGGAGAATAACGAGAGATTCTTCGTGCATTCCAGTGAATTATAAATGGAATATCGTAAATTAAATTCGGGAGAACAGACCACAAATGTGCCGTATATGTTGTCCTTTTTCATACTTTTACAGCGGATTGCAAAGGAAAAAATAAAAATCATCATGAGGAAAAGAAAGCAGCGACTGAAAAGAGCTCTTGCCGTAGATATTCTTGTTATAACATGTCACGTTAAAATACCAAGTATAACGTTATTCTCATGATGTCTGAAAATAAATCATGAAGGAAACTGACGGATCAGCTTCATTTGTAGGGCAACCTTATGATTGGAAATGATTCGTTTCAGCCTTTTTGAATGGAAGTTCCCCAAACCGGAAGTGCCGCCCATAATTCAAAACGCAGTAAACTCGTCAGGAATAAGGTGGATTGGCAATAAAAATTATTTGCAACGTGAAAAGCAAAAAACAAACAAAAATGATAAAGTTTTAATAGTCATACCAATCCTGTGAGAATAGGGAAGTCCATACCATAACAATAACGAGCAATGATATGTGGCCCATTTCATAAAGCTGGTTTTAGAGGATATACTATGAACAAACTATGGTTTTTGGAGTTGAAGATAAGGGATCGGTAACTTGCGCTGCGTGGTTAATCCGCTCCAGAGCAGGTTTCATTCTGAGTAAAGACCCGTTCACACCAAGAACAATTACTATAATGATAAAGATGTAGTTCTAAATGTAAAAGAATAGCAGAGTCCACATCACAACTATAACGATAACGGCACAGACGAAAGATATCGTTGGAATCACTTTCAGATAGGGGAGTAACGGTTCACAAAATTCATGGTTCGGTTCGATTCGACACAGTGGTGTCACGGTTCGGTACGTTTTCGATACCGCAAAAAGAGAGCAATGTCCTGGATTTAAAAAATATATATTTAAAAATAATTTTTCTTTATAAAAAAAAGTGAGTTTCAAGATGTAGGACAACTTTTAGTTTTATAAATGGGGGTTACCTTTGAAGGATGAACAAATAATGTTTTGTTCATCACATTAAAAATCCATGGTGAATGTTGCCGATTAGTGGACTTAAAGCCTTTAACTAGATCATTAATGGCACAATGTTTCTCCTGGTTTCCACGTCAGCGCTGTTGGATCTAATAGAGATCTACGGTTAATAACAGAGAAATTTGAATGTTTCTCACTAGATCTCGCAGCGATGTTATTAATTCAGTGGTGAATTCAAATGCTTTCTTTACTGGATCTCTTAGCGCTGTGTAGAGAGACTCTATTCGTTCCTGTGAAATGTGTTGCTTGATAAAGATCGGCTCGCGCTGCACTGACATCGGTCCAAACTGCACAAAATAATGAGTAGGTCAGTTTCGTTCCGCTTTCATTACGTTTGCTATTTAATGTTGGGCAACGTTGTGGTGGTCACGCCAGCTAACAAAATTTTGGTCGCACAGGCAAAAAAAAAAAAAAAAAAAAAAAAAAAGTCCAACGAATCGTTCGGTTTGTAATGCGTACCGAACCAAAAGCCTCGTACTGAATGGTTCAATACGATTACGTGTATCGCTACACCCCTACTTTCAGATAAAAAAAAAATATTTAAGTTGATGAATGATAAAAACTTTGACAGCCAATCAGAATCCACCCTGGCATCACCACCAACGGCATAGGACTAAACTGCAGCACACGCTTCAAATAAACAATGTTGCGGTCCGCTGATGTGGACGCCAATATAGTTATCGTTTTTATTCAGTGTGAATGGGCCTCTAGAGATTGCAAACTAAAACTGCATCAATCAGCTATGAGCGGGCAGATACTTCCTTCTAGCTGCCTTCTCAAACTTTAGTGGCAGCAGCTGTTTTTCCTGCCTTGTAAATGTTTCAGTTTATTATATAGAACGATCTCTCAATCTTCAGTAAGTGAATCAAATTTAGGTTTTGTGATTGGCTGTTCGCTGCAGATGTCACTTTCATGTGGATGTGCTCCAGAGTGAATTAGTCAGCAAGTTAACAAATTATCAGTCATCAAACCCCAAGTGTTGTGAACACTAGGCCTGTCACGATAACAAATTTTGCTGGACGATAAATTGTCCAAGAAATTATTGCGATAAACGATAATATTGTCGTTCCGAGACCATTTACATCTAAAATAATGATAATGGCATAATAATGCAGGTACACCTTTTCAAAGATCAATAAACTTTTATTTCTAAAGACTATTTAACACTGAAAATGGAAACATTTTAAATATCCACAATAAATGAACAAAACAACCAAAAACAATAAAAGCAATGTCTCTGCTAACAAAAAATGCACTTGAATAAATACCAAAAACAATAAATAAAAT